TCCAATGTCTGATTTGGGCATATAAACAAATACCTAAATCCAGAAAGTTGTCATTAGTATTGTTCTTATAAATAATAAAAAAAAAAATATACATTAAAATAAAGTTTGTACATATCATCGAAATATGTTTCCGCCATTCTTTTCGCCAGGGACTGTATCATCTAAGGATCCCTTCATGAACTCGGCAAGTTTTATCAAAGCTTTATTCATAACATTATTAAGTGTAGATAGAGGGTTTATTTCTTTATAGGTGATTTCGTATTTTTTATCTTCTTTACTGAAAAGAACCTGAAAATCAGGTTTCCTTCTATGCATGTGATTGTTAGCTTTCCGTCAGTTTTTAGAACTCAAAGACTCTTTGTTGGCCTTTGAATTACAAATTTAAAGAAACAATAAATATGTATATATTAAATAGTTACATTATAAAGATTTCAGATACATTTAAACTTATCAAACAAATTTATAATCATTTGTGTTAAAAATTTCCTCTAATAATAAATAGAAATATCTATAGGCGAAAATATCTTCGTCCATTTTATGATTGATGCTATTTGATGTTAAGGTTAAGAAACTACAGAATATATAGTTATAAGCATAATAATGTTGATACCCATGAATTCTTCATTAGGTTTAAAACTTATAAGTTTCTCATAATAAGTTATACGCAGTCAAATATTTTCTTTTCTTCCTTGATCATTGTAGGGTTCCATTTTACCTAATTTTAATGTCATGTTTTTAATAACAAATCTTTATTCATTAGAATCTAAACCACAAATTATTACTTTTGTAAATTACAGTACTTATTGTAATGTTCTTAAATATCAAAAAAGTTATTATAGAATTTACCTCGCTATACTCTAAGATCATGAGCTTAACAATAACTGGTAATGTTTCAGAGGTTAGTAGACTAGGCATAACACTCTTTCAAATCTGATCAGAGCATTTGACATACTCAGGTTTGTCTTCTTTTACATACATTATCGAAGAGAGACATCTGCAATTATATATAAAAGTTAAATATTGAAACAAAAACTATACTTTGTAGGCAAAATACTTACAATATTTTGTCAACTTCTGTAGCATACGAGAAGAATGGGTTGTACTTTAACTGTTCTACTGTTTGTGTTTGAAATTCATGAAAGTCTTCAGAAATATTGTATTCATTCATGATCCACTATAGGCAAAAGATCAATGATTAATGTAGAAAACTACCACAATGAAAAATTTTTTCAATACTCACATCATGATTTGAACTATGATCAATTATAATTTTCTCAGTAATGTACTTTCACGAGAAGATCATCTTTGACTGATAAATCAATTAATATTCAAAATTTGCTAGTTATTCTGAAAAACTATATAAATGATACTTTACCTTTTTGGATTCATTCAAAATTGAAAAATCAGTAAATTTCAAATCATTTAACTCTACACCCTCTTTATCCTGAAATGTAATATATAGATTAGTAAAATGGTTACTCATATCTATTATCTCTTTATAAGATAATTTTTTTAATATTTATCAGATTGTCGATAGACTTATTAATATTTTTGAACTCACCACTAGTCAAAATATTTATCTCATCCTGCATAAATATAAGCAATACAGATTAGAACGAGTTTATGCACATCATAAGACAAATAAAACAAAAAAAAATACTGGAAAGGCCTCAGTTGATGCATCTTCAACTTCGTTTGATTCTTTATTATAATTACCAAAAGAATTATCTTCGTTATTATAAAATAGAGGAAGGGAATAAATACGAAGGTTGGAAGGAGTTGTAATGATAAGAGAAACTTCCTCAGCTGGTCGTTTCTTTTCATTTTTTGAAAATTCACATTATTTGTAAGTGATGTACAATTTTAATTGGTACTTGTAGAAGATAAATGAGAGAGACACAAAAACAACTTAGAAAGTATTATCACATATCAATTCATTAGTTATTTTTTGTTATGCAATCTGCGATTGCTTCTCAGCTTCTTGTGCAGTAGCGTATAGCAGCTCAGTCCAACCTTAATTAAAAAATCATAAAAAAAGTCATACTTAACGAAGTTAGCGTACATGCTGAAGGGCCACACGTTCAACCAACAAATTTTTCTTTTTTTGAGAAATCTTGATTTTATTCTCAAGAGTGATTAATTTTGACTTTGGAAAAGAAAAGAACATTTATGTAATATAGATACTAAAGGACATTAATACGATGCAATTCTTACTTACTTACCTCTTACTTTTCTTGAATGGTGATACGCCAAAAATAATAAACATTTTCTTCATTAATCTCTTTCTATTTTCAGTACAATATGCATAATCAACAAAAGATAGTCACTGCTTTAAAAATCCTTTTTCACAGGACTTGTAATAAATTCGCTTTTCTAAAGTTTCTTTCGTCTTTGCTTAACTATAAGACTCACCTTGAAATTGTTGAGGCAATATGTTGCCTTTGCCTTTTTAACTGTGGTGAATATATCGCATGACTGCACAACTAGCAAACTCATTTGGAATCTGTAATGTTCTTTATCCTTTATTCCTGAGAAATCATCTTGTCTCTTGCGAAAAATAAGAAAGCCTAGAAGTGACCATTCATCTGCAGGAATCTGAATCATATAGTCATCCAAAGAAGCCATAGCAAATAAAAATGAAAAATTAAAAAAATGAAACTACACCAAAATGCGTCACGTTCCATAAATCACAGGTGCAATAATGATGCAATTAAATCACATGCACTTGATCATTAATTTTGTGATCACATTTTTAGTGACTATACACCATATTCACTAGAGAAATGCGTCTAGGACTCATAAGTCACGAAGACTTTATACTATAGATCTAGAATTGAAGTGTTATGCTATTTCTATAACAAGAAGCTGAGGCTTCAAGCTTCTCCGATGGTGTTATGCTAGTTACAGTTTAGATCTATGTGATTAAAGCTTTATAATATAGATCTATGTGTTGAGGCGTTATGTTATTCCTGTAACAAGGAGCTGAGGCTTTAAGCTTCTTCTCTAATAGTGTTATGCTAGTTACAGTCTAGATCTATGTTATTGAGATTCTCAAAGGCTTTATGCTAATTACAGTCTAGATATTTGAAACTCTTTTACATGTCTTCCAATTAGAGTACTGACATATATTAGCTAATATTTTAGGGGTGGGGTTAGTAATTGATCTTAAATTACACATAAATTATAAATCACGTGATAAAGGTAGCTTAGTATTTTTATTTTAAAAAATTTTATTAATATAATTATGTGTTAGATATACATTACACAATTCTGATTTTATTAATTATCAATCTTGATCTGACATATATTCTCTCAAATACATTTCCTCAAAAAGAAGTATTTTCTCTCGTTGTTGTTGCGATAGAAGAAGAGAAAAATTGTTAAGAGTTGAAGAGTTTTGGCTTTTAACTTTCCTTTGGGTCGTTCACGGTTGGCAGGATGTACTGTTTGTTTGTAGTTCATCAAAAAAGTAAGCATTGGAAAATATTTGTCACATTCAAAACAATAAAGATGCAAATATGCTATTTTATCAATAGATGGTTAATGAAAATTATAGCCAGGAATTTTCAATAGATTATAATATTCGAGCAGGTATATTGAGTTGGTAAAGTGGCCATCTTTGGCTTTGGTAATAGGAAGCAAGAAGTCATTGTTCAATTAAAGGAATTCTATGACTTCTTTTACACGAGATGAATCATAACAGCTTGTATTCGTGTATCGTTTAATATTGAGCAAATACTGGTATAGATTACAATAATTTTCAATCTAAGACTATGGTATAAAGCAATTTTGTCTCTTTCGTTCTTCTGTTTTTTCTTTTTCTATACCCTCAAATTGTAGATCTTCAAATAGATTAATGAATTCTTCGACATACTGAGTATCTATGCTTTTTCTGAAAATTAAATCATGACATCATATATTACAAAGAGCCTTTCTAGCATATTGATAATTTTGAAGAGCTAACTCTAGATCTATCACTTTGTCTTACATATTTAAATACGTTCTAAAGTATTGACTAGTAGTACAATACTTGCTAACATTCTAGACAGTGTCGCCATACCTCTTTCGATCAGATTATATTTGGATTGTCCTAGAGCATGTATCCATACGGTCAGGTAATCTAAATTAAATTTTTGAAAAAAATGGCAATATGTTTTAATATTTTTTAGATGTCTCAGGTTCTCATCTGGTTTTCTATCTACCAATAAAATCCAGATTGGTCAAATTTCTCTGTCGGTCTTCAACACATTATCGTATTGGTCATTTAAAGAAAGACTTTTGAGGTTTTGCATATGTGTAAGGAAAGATGTATCAAGAGACCATTAGCATCGCACAAAAATGACAAGTTGGCCCATTCGTAGTTTATCATTTAAATCATTTAGTTTGATTATAAGATAAACTGATAGAACTAACTTTTGCTTATATTCTATAGAAAAATCGTGATCAGCTACACGAACAGACTCGTGAACTGATTGCAATGTTTGAAAGGTTCGACCTACAGCAGGTATCCCAAGATCTATCTTTACCTTGTCATCTTAAGAGATAACAACTAATATATCAGCAAAGACATTTGCAAATTGCCTTGCACATTTAATAGATGCAAGGCAATAATAACTATCAGGATGATCTCGGGTCTTCATTCATGAAACTTCAGCTACTGCTATCTTTATCAGATGATGATGAGCTCTTGCAGCAATGGATTGGATTGACGTGATAACAGATAATTATTTAATGTTATTCACGCTATATAAACATTATATTTCTCCTCAAGATTTTTACAAATTTTCAATGATCTGAACTTTTACTACTTCTTTTCATTATTTCTCATCAGCTAAACTGAATTTGACCGAATTGTAAATATGATCATGTAATTCTAGATGTTTAAAAAGAAGAGATAGATGACCGGATCTATCATATTATATGACTTCCTGATTTTCAGCAAGCATTTTTTGTTTTTTTTTTTGCAATTTTAAACATATTTTGCATTTCTTTTTAATTTGAGAATCCTGTTCTGATTTGATTTAACTTGGGCTCAAAGATCTACTATTTTTACATATGTATTATAGCGAAGTTGAGAATCGGTTGTGATATTGTAGATTTGCTCTAATTCGATAAGTTTTTTTTTCAGCTATTGTTATTTCACTTGCCGCCTTTTGTTGAGTTGTTGCGTTAATAGGAATTTCTGATATAGGTTTTACTAAATAAATATTAGGAAGGGGAGGAGTTAATTCTTCTCTAGTTACAGGAGACATCTTGGTCTCATTGTTTATATATCATACAAATTAAATTGAGTGGTCAAGTATTTTCTGATTATATCATCGATTTCTACTGCACCTTTGTTTTTAATTTTCTTCCATTCTTATGATGTTTTATAGCAAACATTAGCACAGTTCAAGATACCGTTTCCTGTTTTTACCATCAAACTATATACATAAGCATTGGAAAATTCCTGATATTTATTTGTTAACGAGTTATATATTGGCTTTTTATTAAACTTAAGGCTAAATAAAAAGGTTTGTTGACTCATATTTAATATTTGAAATAAAATATTAGTGTTTTTTTGTATAGACGCAAAATAGAAAGTTGAATACAACACGTAAATACATGCAGCAAGATAGCTTTTAATCAATTGGTTTTATTGAATTTAATTAAGCTAATTTGAATAAAAAACTTGCGTAAAATAGTCTTTCGTAGTATCCTGCAGCATCCTGTAGTGCAAGAGATATAAATTATAATTAAAATATAAAAATAAATTGCTTAAATGGTTTAAATGTTTATTTAAAATAAAAAAAATTAAAAATAAACAAATTTATAAATCGAAATATATATATATTTTTATCATTTGTTCTTAATTTACTTTTGACTTATTTAACTTACAAATCTAAAAAAGACAAATAATCTGCAGTACATGATATCTTACCTGGAGATGAGGGTAGGTGCTTATATTAAAATTATATTAGCTAATATATGTCAGCACCCTTACAGTATACCAACTTATTTCATTCGTGTTCAAAAATCAGTAAGCCAGCTATGGATCTCAAGATATAAAATTATGAAGTGTGAATTGAGTCACATAATTATTTATAATTGCGAACTGCTTAATATATCACAACACATAATTTTAATGCTCTTTTTTGCAAATTAAACTTCATTATCAGAAAAAAATATTCGATACAAATGCCCTGAACTTTATTAATGATTTTTAGATACATAGTGAATCAGAAATTGCTAGAGAAGTGAATGAAATATATGATGCTATCAAAGAGAGAGGTATGCAGATCTTAAGCCATTTAATGTGAGTTTTAGCATCAATTATTTCTTTGCTCTCTCGCATTTATACAAAATATCTATAACTTAATTTATTTCTATTGTTAATTGCCTCATACTCTTTTACTACACTAGATTTCAAAATAAATTATCACACTTATATTTACAGAAAATTTTCTATATATATTTCTTCCACCTACAATATAAAATATTAAGTTCTGTATATGATTATAATTATTTATATTATACATTTAATTTAATGAATATATTTAATTATATTTAATTTAGGAATCAAAGGAAAAAGTATTTTATTTGAATTACCAATAGAATTTTTCAATTGACATTATGCATTTATTTTTTGAAAATATTGTATCATATATGTTCTATAATCAATTTTTAATAATTTAAATATCTATTTATTATACAAAAATCATCTTAAATGAAATTGATCAAATAATAAATGAAAACAAATAAATAATACTTTTAGAATTTTACAGACTTCCTTGAAATATATTTAAATATTATGCTAGATGTAAAGCAGAAGAGTGGGCTATTGAATAATATTATATTTTGTATTACTTCTCAAATTATATATTACAAACGAGTAATTTCAAGATATTATTTATTTTAAAATACTAACGTATAATTTAATTTATTCTTAAATATTTTAGATATTTTAAAGAATGAAATGAATTTGTTATTACAATTTATTTATACATGTAAATAGAAATAGAAAAAAATGATAAATAGAAAATCATATGATTTGTAATGTGATTTTAATAGCAAACTTTCAATATATCAAAGTTAATATAATTTTATATTAAAATTTTTATAATTATACTAATTAAATATTTTAATATAAAGATTATGCAAATGTTAAGATGAAAATTTATCTAGTATATTATATGTTATTAAAAGTATAAATTAGAGAAATAGTAACAGCTAAAGAGAATAAGAATAAGTATAATTAAGATTATAGCTCTTCAATCATTCTTGATGGTAATTAATTTTTAATTAAATTTTTAAATTATTGAAATTTATTATTATTTTTTAATCAAATAAATTAAAATAGATGAAAAAATAAAATCATTAAAGATTATTAAATAAAATTTAAAATTTAATGAAAATATTGAATTATTAATAAAATAAAAGGTTATTAAAGAATAGTTTGATTAATTAAGATAGTTTTAAAGATAGAATTTAAAAATATTTTAAGTTTTTAAAGCTTTAATTAAATTATTAAAAAATCTTAAAAATGTAATTAAGTTTATTTATTAACATATAAATGTAAAATGATTTATTTAATTATTATTTATATTTTATTATTTATTATTATATATTTATAAAAGATCAATATT